GCAGAGTTCAAGGTCTTCTTATTTCACTCCCTCCCAAGCCTTACCTATAAGGTTTACACAATTGAGGATATTAAAGTGCTCTCTCCAAAACTTTCTTAGAGTCAGTTGAGTTTCTGAGGTCACTACAAAAGCACCTTTCAAACAGAGCTTTTGTGTACAGTTTTTTGAAGTTTGCAATAACCTGCTGGTCCATGGCTGCAGAAGGGAGTGGTATTAGGAGGCAAAAACTTCACCTTAATGAAGCTCATGTCCCATAAAGTCGCTCTGCCACGTCTGTAGGATGACCAGGGGCATGTCTAAACACCAGGAGGCACTTAAGTTCTAATTTCTTTTCAGTTAGGTAATCTTTCACATTGGGGGCAAATGCATGGTGTAACCAGTTATAGAAAAAGTCCCTAGTGACCCATGCCTTACTGTTTGCCCTCCACAGCACACACAAATTATCCTTGAGGACATTCTTTTGCCTGAACGCTCTGGGAGTTTCAGAGTGATACACTAATAAAGGCTTAACTTTGGCAATCACCACTAGCATTGGCACACATCAACAAAGTAAGCCTGTCTTTCATAGGCTTATGTCCTGGGAGTGCCTTTTCCTCCTGAGTAATGTAGGTCCTGCTTGGCATTTTCTTCCAGAACAGGCCTGTTTCATCACAATTAAACACTTGTTCAGGTTTCAGTCCTTCACTGTCTATGTACTCCTTGAATTCCTGCACATATTTTTCAGCCGCTTTGTGTCCGAACTGCAGCCTCACCATGCCTTATCACACTATGGATGCCACTACGCTTCTTAAATCTCTCAAACCAACCTTTGCTGGCCTTAAATTCACTCACATCATCACTAGTTGCAGGCATTTTTTTAATTAAATCCTCATGCAACTTCCTAGCCTTTTCACATATGATCGCTTGAGAGACGCTATCTCCTGCTAGCTGTTTTTCATTTATCCACACCAATAAGAGTCTCTCAACATCTTCCATCACTTGCGATCTTTGTTTCGAAAACACAGTTAAACCTTTGGCAAGAACAGCTTCCTTGATTGTCTTTCTGGTGCCCACAATAGTAGCGATGGTTGATTGGGGTTTCTTGTACAACTTGACTAGGTCGGCGATACGCACTCCACTTTCATACTTATCAATGATCTCTTTCTTCATTTCTATTGGAATTCTCACCCTTATTGGTGTACGGTTGGCACTAGAAGCTTTCTTGGGGCCCATGGTCACTTATTTTCCAGAAACAGCACCGAAAACACTGTAATAATACGAAATATTCCGATTGTATGCTTGGATGTTACCGCGGAGGCTGGCTGGTAAACAATGGCACGGGCGGCACATGTGAGGCTGGCTGAGGGCGCACAGTGGACGCGTCTCGGACGAAAATTGGTGAGCGGGTTTTTAATCGGTATGCGCGGCAAAATTTTTGCGATTAACCCTTTGAGGGTCGACAGGCCCTCTCCAAAACTCGTTCTCAGGGTCGGCCAAATTTAAAAAAAAAAAAAATTATTTTCTCTTATGAAAAGATAGAGAATCTTTTCCCGATCATAAAGACACCAAAAGTTTGAAATTTGATAGAAAACTTACGGAATTATGCTCTCGCAAAGTTAGCGGTCTCGGCGATGTTTACGCATCGGTGATTTTGCCCACTTTGATCCCCATTTTCGGCCAATTTCACTGTACTAGTCGACAAAAAACATGAATATTTCGATAGAACTCCATTTTTTCTATCGAATGGGTGCAAGAAACCACTCATTTATGAAATTCTACTATCCAGTACAGTGGTCAGAATTTAGTAATTTTGCCAATTTCACACAAATTTCAAAAGATGCCAATTTCCGAATAGGGTCCAGAATAAACAAGAAAGACATTCCTGGCACTAAAATGACATTTCCTCTAGTCATAAGTCATGTCTCAAGGCCCTCTTATATTCTTTTGCTTTCCACTTTGAATTTTTATTTTCACAAAAAATATAAGATTTACTGTTATGCAGACTACTGCATTAGTGTAAAAAATGGTTATAAATATTATTGGTTGCACTTGTGAAAGAATATTAGACTCACCAGTTGACGTGTATTGCACGCTTGGCACGATTTGTTTACTTTTGAACTTTGGCAAAAATCGAACATTTCTGCTACTTTGAGCTCAATTTCAAGGCACCTTTCTTTGTAATAACCAGTCAAAATCATCCAATTTCTGTAATATGTATTCCATTCTATAAAATGAAACCAGAAAACTAGAATACAACAATAAATACCATACGAAAATACCACTGCAAAGTCGCTGATTTATTCAAAAAAAATGGTAAAAGTTTTTTTTTTCTCATTATGCACTGTGTGCTGCAGGATTTTTTTTAGACTGTGCACACTGACCACATAGACCCATTCTTTCATATGAAGGCCTACCAGCTTTCTCCCACTAGATTTGAGGCCGCTAGAATTTATGAGTACTAGTACGTCAAAAACCCCTACGCGTAAGACGTACTAGTACGACGAAAACCCCCAAAGGGTTAAAGCAAGTGGTATGCGGATTAATCGCTATGAGATGCCATCGTTATGCGGGGGTCCACTGTATAGCAATCTGGGGCTCAAATGCTGCATTATTTGTCCAATTGAATCCACCAATCAGGAGAGAGCCAGCTCTGCAGCCAAGGTGATGTCATACCTGCTTACCAAACTGTTGGGGGCAGACTCTTGCTTACTCTGGTTGAATCCACTCTGTCTTATTTAACTGCTGACCTAAAATCTTAACTGTGTAAATACTGTAAATAGTGGTAGAAGAATACACGAAGAAAACTAGTACTTCTGTGTTTCCTTTGCCCTTGTCTTGCCCAACTGCTCACTATATTGCTGATTTTGGTTACAGCCAGGTACAATAGGCCTTGAATTGCTACTTGTATTTGTAATACACATTTACTGTACATATGCACACAAATATACATCCAGACATACTCTCATATTAATATAAACACACACACATGTAAATACATAGTACATGCAAAAATATGCACACACACAGATGTACATGCTTACACATGTACACCCACACATGTGCACATGCATACCCCCACAAGTGCATACCTGGAGTGTGTTCCAGGGGTCAACGTCCCCGTGGCCCAGTCCATGACCAGGCCTTGTGATGGATCAGTACTTGATCAACCAGGTTGTTATTGCTAGCAACATGCAAGTTGATGGACGAGCCACAGCCCAGGTGGTCAGGTACTTACTTAAGGTGCCAGTCCAGCTCCTACTTGAAGATAGCCAGGGCTCTATTGGTAATCCCCCTAATGTATGCTGGGAGGCAGCTGAACTGTCTTGGGCCCCTGACACTTATGTATGCATACACATGCACACCCATACATATGCAATAAGATCACAGGTGATATCAGAATATGCAAAGCACCCATTGTGAAAGAATAGCGAAATTCCAAGCGCTTTCGTGACTTCACATTATCAAAGAAGAATAAAAAACGAAATATCAAAGGAAGGCGGCATATGAAGGGTCAAGACTACACCTCACTATCACGTCACCACAACAAAGCTACACCTCACACACGTGTGGCAACACCTGACTATGAAACCCACCTAATACTCTACCCAAGAATTAAGATTTATTACTTGTCTAATGTATCATTAAATTCTTCCCAAATTTTATTAATTATAAATGAATCCAACTGAGAGCATTATGTATCTGCAGTCCAGAGTTCATAGATGAAGAAATATCAAAAATTTATGAAACAGCTAATGAAATACCAAAGAAACGTAATTGATAAATCTTTTAAAATTGCTAGAAATACTTTTAACAATCCAAAAAGGGACAACCAACCTTATTCAACAAAAAATATGTTGCTTCTCCCTTACCATGAAAACCTGGTTGATATGCCTTCTCTTCTTAGACTTTTAATATCAAAGTTGCACTTAAAAATCTCGATACAGTAAAAAATTTTTTAATAAAGAAATCCCCCCAAAATGCTGACGGATGTGTTTATAAGATTCCTTGTAAAATTTGCAATAAAGTTTATTATGGTCAAACAGGTAGAAAGTCTCAAACTAAGATTAAATCAACATAAATATAGCATTAAAACATAACAAGATTCTAATGCTCTATTTATTTATGCGAGAGATTTTAACCATCCAACTGATTTTCAAAAGGCTGAGAAAGTTGTATCAAGGAAGTCCATGGCTGAATCGTGTTTAATAAAAAGCAGTTTTGAAAAGTAATACGAATATTTCCTTTGGTTTATATAAACTGGATTCATTTATAATTAACAAAATTTGGGAAGAATTTAATGATACAAGTAATAAAACTTAATTCTTGGGTAGAGTATTAGGTGGGTTTCATAGTCAGGTGTCGTCACGCATTTGTGAGGTGTAGCTCTGTTGTGGCGATGTGATGGTGAGGTGTAGTCTTGACCCTTTATTATACCTTCCTTTGATGTTTTATTTTTTATAGTTCCTTGATAATGTGAGAAGTCATGAAAACACTTGGAATTTCACTATTCTTTGACAGTGGTTGTTTTGCATACCCATACATATGCACATGCATACACAAACACACCATATATATATTTAGTGCATTTTTATGATTTGGTGCATTAAAAAACTAATAATTGCCCTTCACTATTTCTGTTGTGTGCATTTGATTAAAGAGTGCTGAGGTTATGGTATGTGGGGAATACATTTCTTGGATCACACAGCAATTGAAGTCTAGCTATTTCAATACCAGTCTAGATGCAGAATGTTTTCCCAAGTTTTATGAAACAGACACACTGCAACACAGGACCTACTGCAAACTACTCTAAAATAAAGTAGAAAAATCATGCAAAGTTTACACCAGATTATAAAGAACTCATAACTTTAACAATGAAACACGAGCAAAGGTTTTTAACTTCTTCCCCATTCCTCTTTAACTTGTTTACTCTTAGGCTACCAACATCATTATCCTTGAAAATTTATGTACAGTGTTATGGTACAGGGGAAAATATTTATCTTAACAAAAGTTGCAAAATTTACCTGTGTGTTCAGACTCAGGACGAAGAGCAAAGCCAGAACCAAGAATATGAGGAGAACTGTCCCTTTCAGTACTGTCATCTATTGCCAGCCGCTGAGCAAGAACAACCTTCTCGTCTTCACAATCACAATCTTTGTCCCCACTGTAACGAGTTGTGGCCATTTAATGTGATTTTCACATCACTTGGCTGTAACACGTATATTACTATATAATAACTAAAAATAATCTTACTCAACCACATAGTTATCAAAAATGGCATCTTTCTTAGTACTCTTACATTAAATATTCAAATAATTTATTTAATATAAATGAAGGTATTTTATATAAATGAAGGTATTATATAAATAAAGGTGACCAAAATTGGTATAAATCTAATAGGTTACCTGTGACAAGCCTGCAACTGGTTTTAAGAGTTCAACTCTCAAAGCCCAACCAGAGACCAGATTGCACTGAGTATGCCTGGTTAACCAGGCTATTGCTGTAAGTGGCCTGCTAGCCTGCAATGCCATCATAGCCTGGCTGATTCAGCACATAATTCATGGACATACAAGCCTTGGCACAATTTGACTGATCAGCACATAATTCATGTACATACAAGCCTTGTACAATATTCCTGACTGATTCAGCACATAATTCATGTACATACAAGCCTTGCACAATATTCCTGACTGATTCAGCACATAATTCATGTACATACAAGCCTTGTACAATATTCAACAGGTTTAAAAGAAATGTTAAAAGCAAAGTGAAAATTTCACGTGCCAGGCCAACCTATACCCCTTCCCATACATATACAGTGATACCTTGAGTTACAAGCTTAATTCGTTCCAGAATGCTGTTCAAACGAATTTGTTCCCATGAGGAATAATGAAAATTAGATTAATCCGTTTCAGACCCCCAAAAATACACTTACAAAAATACACTTACATAATTGTTTGAGCTGGGAGCTGATCATATCTCAAGGTACCACTGTACTATACTGTATCTTGCCCAGATTATATCTCACTATCACATCAACCTGGTCTAGATCTACAATTACATGAAGACAGTACGTGCTCACAAGAAGATGGCACAGCAATATCCACAGGTTGTTGCTGTTCTTTTGTATTTATAAAGCACTAGAATGTTTTAGTTATTCAGTACCTTAAACTTACTCCATTCCTAACATTATTTAACATATTTACATCACATTATCAATATTGTACCAACTTGATACTCTTGTGATAAATTCACTCTCCAATCATATTTTGATAATATCAGTATTAGCTGATGCTGAAATCATAAAAAATCAACCAATGCCACCAATACTTTGGCACATCCTTATAAATATAATTAACATTTTTGATAATCTTTAATCACTGCAAATTATAAATACAATACTGTACTAGGAAATTGAAGTACATATAGCATAGCACTGCAGTAGTTTCAGTGACATACTGTAAATAGTTTATATGGAATACTAAACTCCAGGATAGATGAATACTATAGAAACATGACAGCACGATCCTCTACACCTCAAAGAAGCCAGATTTCTTACCTTCTTGTCCTCCAAACAGCATGCTGTATATTGCAACAAACATACCAGTATCAAAAACAAAAAGGTAAACACAAAAGTGTAATGAACACTAGTCTATGGAACAAGCAAACCCATATGGAGAAAAAAAAAAAAAAAAAAAAAAAAAAAAGAGTACAGTACAGTACATTTCATCCTACCAGAGGTCCTATACAACAGTTCAACATTAATCTTGAAATTTATTTTCTCTATGTGAATACATTTGTCATAAAGGAAGCAAGAGTAAACTGTGCCCTGCAGTTTGGCAGTTGCATAGTAAGGCAAATAACAAATGTTTAAAATTTTTGAGGAGTACATGGTGGGGGTTATAAAACAAGATTACTTTTTTAGGTAAATTATATAAAAAAATACAACTAATTTATTATTTAAATTAAGTGAGGAACTACAGTGGACCCTCAGCTAACTATATTAATCCGTTCCTGAAAGCTCATCATTAGCTGAATTAATTTTTCCCATAAGAAATAATGGAAATCAAATTAATCCGTGCAAGACACCCCAAAGTATGAAAAAAAAATTTTTACCACATGAATTATTAATTTTAATACACACAAACTGACACTTACCTTTATTGAAGATCTGATGATGATTGATGGGATGGGAGGAGGGGAGAGTGTGGAAGTTGTTAATGTTTAGCAGGGGAATCCCCTTCCATTAGGACTTGAGGTATCAAGTCCTTTTCCGGGGTTACTTCCCTTCTTTTAATGCCACTAGGACCAGCTTGAGAGTCACTGGACCTCTGTCGCACAACATATCTGTCCACAGAGGCCTGTACCTCCCATTCCTTTATGATTTGTCTAAAGTGGTTCACAACATTGTCATTGTAATAGTCACCAGCACGGCTTGCAATAGCTGTGAGGGTGATTCTCATCCATAAAGGTTTGCACTTCAAGCCACTTTGCACACATTTCCTTAATCTCTTTCTTCATATCCATTCCTGCAGGGTTGGCACTAGAAGCTTTCTTGGGGCCCATGGTGACTTATTTTGCAGGTACAATCACTAAAAACGCTGTGATAATATGAAATGTTCTGATTGCATGCGTGGATGCGACCGCACTCACTGGCTTGTAAATACTGGCACCCACGGGACAACTGAGGCATGCTCAGGCCACATGTGGATGCGTCTCAAACGAATCGTATTGGGAGAGTTTTTTAGTGTTAGCCGAGGCAAAATTCTTGCATTAAAATGTCGTTAGCCGGATTTAATGTTAGCTGATGCCATCGTTAGCTGAGGGTCCACTGTAAATGCCCCAGCTTAATTATTAATTTAAAAACAGTCAATCATTTGAGTTTCATAAAGTATTTTGCAAGAAAATTTGCATAAAGTAGTTGAGATCAGGTATAATAATAATCTTTATTTCTACAAGTCCATGTAAAAATTATACATGTCAATTTTGTTCCAAGGATGTGACCCACACCAGTCAGCTAACACCCAGTTACCTATTTACTGCTAGGTGAACAAGGACAACAGGTGTTTTAAAGAAACATGCCCTAATGTTTCCAACTGTACAGGGGATTGAACCACGTCCCTCAATGTATGAGCTACGAGACACCTGCATTTACACTGAACCTAACGAATGAAACTACAGAAAAGGAGGCGAGCGATTTCTTGTATTCTTGTACTTGTAAGCTAATCCTCTCTATTTACTGTTCATGTAAGTAACTCAGTTCATTTTATTCCTATTGTGCCTCTTTTTACTAACTGATTTTCACACAGTTGAGTTACTTAGCCGTTTTAATTTTTAAGGTTATAATTAGGACCGGTTTTTAATGTACAGTGGACCCCCGCATAGCGACTTTAATCCGTGCAAGAGGGCTCATTGTTATGCGAAATGATCGGTATGCGAATGAATTTTCCCCATAAGAAATAATGGAAATCAAATTAATCCGTGCAAGACACCCAAAAGTATGAAAACAAAAATTTTACCACATGAAATATACATTTTCCTACACACAAAGAGAAGGATACATGCACAATAGTAGAGTAGTACATGCACAATATATATTGTGCATGTACTACTCTACTAAATGAAGAATAAATGACACTTACCTTTATTGAAGGTGCAGCAATGACTGATGAGACACAGTGTCCTGGGAGTGCCTTTTCCTCCTGAGTACTGTAGGTCCTGTTTGGCATTTTCTTCCAGAACAGGCCTTATCAGGCCACTACGATTCTTAAATCTCTCAAACCAACCTTTGCTGGCTTTAAATTCACCAATATGAGCACTAGTTCCAGGCATTTTTCCCTGTTCACCTGGGTGTTAGTCGACTGGTGTGGGTTGCATCCTGGGAGACAAGATTAAGGACCCCAATGGAAATAAGTTAGACAGTCTTCGATGACACTGACTTTTTTGGGTTATCCTGGGTGGCAAATCCTCTGGGGTTAATTGTTTCTTGGTATTCTCAATAAGCCACACCAACAACAGTGCTACAGCAGCAGCAGCAGCAGCAGCAGCAGCAGCTGACAGTGCTACAGCAGCAGCAGACGATGCTACAGCAGCAGCAGACAGTACTACAGCATCAGCTGACGGTGGTACAGCAGCAGCAGCAGCTGACAGTGGTGCAGCAGCAGCAGCAGCAGCTGACGGTGGTACAGCAGCAGCAGCAGCTGTACCACCAATAGTAGCGATGGTTGATTGGGGTTTATTATACAACCTGGCCAGCTCGGAGACACGCACTCCACTTTCATATTTATCAATGATCTTTTTCTTCATCTCTATAGTAATTCTCACCCTTATTGCTGTAGGGTTGGCACTAGAAGCTTTCTTGGGGCCCATGGTCACTTATTTTGCAGATAAAATCACCAAAAACACTGTAATAATACGAAATGTTCCGATTGTATGCTTGGATGTTACCGCGGAGGCTGGCTGGTAAACAATGCCACCGGCGGCACATGTGAGGCTGGCTAAGGGCGCACATTGGAAGCGTCTCGGATGAAGAGCGGTGAGCGGGTTTTTGAGCGGTATGCGAGGCAAAATTTTTGCGATAAAAGCGAGCGGTATGCGGATTGAACGTTATGTGATGCGTACGGTATGCGGGGGTCCACTGTATCTTACAGCTAGATTTTCAATACTAAGATATTACAAGGACCCAATGGAAATAAATCACTGTTTTATCATAGGTAATTTACACATTACTATGTATAATAATTGCATTTATGTGTACCTGTACCTAAATAAACTTACTTTCATACAGTCATAACTGAGCTTTCAGCTGTAGGATGTGTTGCTTCACAATCACAGCAAAAGAATCTTTTCTGTAGACACCACAATTACCATTACTGTACTGGCCATCTGCTCTCCCCAATTAATCCATTAAATAGAGGATTTACTGTATACCTTTCTAACAGCTCGAGCTGTTGAACTGTCTCAGTGACTCATTACCATACGAGGTACAAGAGGAAGCAAAGGCTTTTGTATCGGATTCAGTATTGAAAACCCCTCATAAAAGATGAAAATTAGACAAATCTATCATTGAAAACTTCTTCTAACAGCACATAGGCAAAAATATTACTAACAAAATACAGCAGATTACTGCACTTTCAAAATGTCTATTACAAAATAGCTTGACAA